CCTGAGGAGGAAACGCGAGACCGCAACCAAAAAAAAGAGGTCCAATTATGAAGAAGATTTGTGTGCCCTTCTTACCTTCACCTCACAAGGCCAGTCGTGAGAGACGGCTTCGTAATTCAAATTCCTCGAACGATCCTCGGCAGAAAAAGACTTCATTAAAAAAAGAGAAAAAGTGACGCATAAAGAGATGTATGCCAGAGCGAACTCTCGGGCCAAAGAGAAAAAAAATGTTTGAACACGAAAGACTTACACAGGCTACTATATTGCTTCCTTGGGCCGAGAAATCCCGTAGAGCCGGGCTGAGACGTCTTGACAGGTAGTTATTACGGCCACATGGTATTACAGATCCCTACAACACCCTATACACACACCGCCATCACCGAGATCCCTCATCTGACCACAACATCCTTTCTTTATTTCCTCCGCCCGACCGCCGTCTCCCTGTCTCCATCACAATAGACAACGGCAGAATAACCGCAACACGTCACGATCTCCGCTTGAAGGAGATTCGACATAACTTTTACGTCGTCAAGAGGATGGCAAAGCGGCCAGCTGTGTCCTGTTTCGGATCAGTCAGCGTGGCATGACTGTCATGTGCAGATCGGAGAACGGGCGTAGGGTGGGGAGGACGGAGGGGAATAAGTGTTAACAAGTCTAGAAGTATTCACACGACCGAGTTTAATTACAGTCAGTATCCGAATATTCACGGCTGGAGATGCAGCCTCCATCATCGCCACACATCACACCCCCAGAGTTTTCAACTGAGAGGCGCAGAAATCGTTGTTCACGCTCGCTTCATTCGGACCGAATCTCGCTGTTCACGCTGATAAGATTTGCATTTTGAGCGCTGAGTGACTCCCGCGTCGAATTAATTACGGCGAAGCATCCATGCCATCCGTCTCAAGTTCCAGCATCTCCTCCCCCGCCCCCAGCCCCCACCACTGCCTCCCCCACCTGTCCCTCAACGCGTCTCACCGCACGCCGCGGCTCGGGTTGCGAATTCAGGGAAAGCCAACGGCGAGAAATACCTGCAGCTAAATTACATAATCCGTCTACAGTGTCTTGACGGTAACCCTAGATAATAGCAATTACGAAAAACATGTTAACCAGGCGAAAAAAATCAGTTAATTAAACAGCTAATCACATTATACGTAAGTACATTCCTTTCGATGCCGTCTCGACCCGAACACTTCGGTCAATCACTCGGACGGATCGAAACGCGCTCTCTTGAACTAAATAAACCTCCCTCAATTTTCAAGTGACGAGCCATTCCATAAAACAAACTCCTCTCGGTACCAACGTCTACACATTTTTTTTCTCCAGACACAGGGAACAAAACCAGGAAGGAAAATAAAACAAAATACGACGACGAAGGCCAATGTCGGACTCCGCGATCCACGCTTGAGGGAGGTGGCACGCGCGCCGAGGGATGTGGTGGCACTTTCCTCCCTAATGGTCCGGGACTAAGAGACAGGTACAGATCAATGCACCCGATAATGGTTACCTGGACACGAAGGGGAGAACAGAGAGGGAGATGGATCGAAAGAAAAAAGATAGATAGATAGATAGATGGACTGACAAATAGGAAAAGAAAAGGGAGGAGTGGTAGGGGAAAGAGCAGAGGCGAAAGGGAGGAAAAGAGAAAGCGAAAAAATGAGAAAAGGAGAGGGAGAGGAAGAGAGAGAGAGAGAGAGAGGGAGAGAGGAGAGGAGAGAGGAGAGAGAGAGAGAGAGAGAGAGAGAGAGAGAGAGAGAGAGAGAGAGAGAGAGAGAGAAAGAGATAGAGAGAGAGAGACGGAAATTCCAACAAAAAAAATACAGGAAGAAAGGAGAGTAGTGAATTCAAGGTGGTGTGGAAGACCGAAAGGCGAGGTTAAGAAAAGAAAAACTGGGAGAAGGGCGCTAACTGAGAGAGAGAGAGAGAGAGAGAGAGAGAGAGAGAGAGAGAGAGAGAGAGAGAGAGAGAGAGAGAGAGAGAGAGAGAGAGAGAGAGAGAGAGAGAGAGAGAGAGAGAGATTAAAGATGAAAACAGGAAGAAACACAAAAGAAGAGACGCGGAAACTCGAAAGAAAATTACAAAAGCGAATAAAAAAAATGTCGACAAAAGTGACGAGGACGAAAGACCAAACAAACAAACTCTGGACGTTTAACTTGCAAACAAAAGCGACGCAAAAAAGACTATGCGGAGAAATTCAGTGACCTTGACTAACACGGCTTCCTATTCCGTTGGCAGATAACTGGCTTATTGGGGAGAGGGAATCTGCTTCTAGATTCAGCCCTGCCTCTCTTATTAGATTTACAAATTCTAATAAGATCTTGAAAGTCAGTGATATCATCATCATTACCGTTTCTGTTAATAACGATGACTTTAATCACCTTTGAAAGGTAATAAAGAAGACAACCCGCATTAATATTCCCGATTAGTTGATGCAAAACCTCTGACAAAAAGCCGTCGGCTCTGCACCCTCCTCTCTTCGCCTGACACCTGTCCCCTTGAGAGCTTCCCAGGGGCCCAACCATCCCCTTCGCGGCGGGAACCTGTACTGCAGAGGCCCCCGAGGCACGCAACCCCGCAGGTACCCGGGCCTGTGAAGGGAGCGCCGTCGTCCATCTGCCCTTGCTCTTCCGCCATAGGGGAGGATGCTGTACGACATAACCGGCCCGAGAGAGTTACTATGCACAGCGATGCAGAACACCTGCAGCGCTGCTCTCTCAGTGCGGCAACATCCGCTTCAGTTGCAGTGTCTAGGGTTTGTCCCTGAGTGCCAAGGGAATCTGGCGCACCCTTCTTGTAGTTTGTTATTGAGGACATTATAAATGCTTCATACAACGCATTATCTAAACCGGTGTGTGTATGTGTGTGTAGATAGATAGATAGACAAATAAGTTCATTTCATAAGCAACACACGGAAAACCCACCAAGTAAGCATTGTAATGACACCGTGTCTAGTAAGGATATATAAAAAAACACGATTTTCTCCCATTCGAAAATAATCACAACAGACGGTAACTCGCTGCTCATACCCAATCTTCCCCTGGGAACTCCGGGTCATCGAGTTCCCATCGCGCGGGTGTGTGTGCACGCTGGAGCCCCGAGTGAAAGGAGGAGGAAGAGAGAAGAAAAAAAATCCGCCTCGGAATTTTGGCCGTGTTATTTCTCGCCATTCATTGTTCTTTGGCGCGGGACACCTCGGGCGGTTCCTGTACCCCCTCCCCCCCACACCCCATTATCACCCCTAAACTGTATCACATTCCAACCTACCAATATTACACACACGGGAACAATCTGTTTAATCGGGTAACTATGCTCGTTCAATTGAATTTCATCAAACTCTTACGCAATCTTCACTTTTACTAATCAGCTGTCGCATAATCATTCAATACTCATCTGATTATATAACAAATAACACCGCGTAATTCAAATAATTAATCACAAACCTATCACTTATCACTCAATTATTATTCATTATCACTAACCTGTCAACCTGTCATCAATCATCACCAACCTTCTCCTTAACAAAAAAATGAAAAAAAAAATCCTTTTACGGGTTCTCCTAGATGTCCTCTCTCAGGTCTTTCACATTTATAAACTAAAGAGACTAAAAGTAGAAGTAAATTTCGAGTAATCTCTTTCCTGGTCACAACAACAACAACGACAAAAAAATGATATTATAATGTAAGGTTTCAGATCTCTTTTATAATTCAAGCTAATGTAATCAAGAAAGATTTTCAGTTATGAGCCACTTCGTTCGATTGCGTCATTTTCGTCTCGTAGACTTAGAACAGACACGTTTCCGTGATGCAAATACCCTTGACCTTAAATATTTTATCATGGAAGGCGCGTTTTCACGCACGCACGCACGCACGCACGCACGCACGCACGCACGCACGCACACACACACACACACACACATATATATATATATATATATATATATATATATATATATATATACATATATATATACATACATATATATATATATACATACATACATACATACATACATACATATATATATATATATATATATATATATATATATATATATATATATATATATATATATATATATATATATACCTTCTCTCATCTCGTAACCCTCATAAACATCACTGAAGTGTGGAAGGGTCACACTCGGCCTAGTGCCGCAGCCCGGGCCTCCGACTGCCCTTCCCGACGAGGCACGACTAACCCGAGGCAATATTTGCTCTACAAATTGATCGAACTCTCGGGGGTCACTGAAGCCGATCGGTGAGGTGTGAATGCATAATACTATCATACCGAGGTTCTCTTTTTGACTTTCGAGCTTTCCTGCTCTAAAATATGCATTTTCAGTCACTATCTTCATTGAGTATTGAATATAACTGTTAGGGTAAATCTGCAACAGCCACATACCTTTCGATACCCATAACACAAACGTTTTTCCCTTTTCGCAAAAATGAAAAGGTGGCGCATACATAATCACACAAGATTCCGGTTTTCATGTGTAAATTATACGTTGAACTGCGGTCTTATTCGGGCATATCAAATATCCCTCAATTATACCATTACATAAGCGCCGTCTACCTTTACACTTGTTTCATTAAATTATGACGCAAGCTGCTGCGTTGTCTCGAATACAAAGTCTTGCCGCTGTAACAAGTGTCAAGATATTCTAAATAATCTCTATATGGTGGAAACAACTGCATGGTCAAGCTGGGAGGTACGAATG